GTCAGGGTTAGAGTAGGACACATCGGGTTCGACCGGGGCTCTGGGAACTTCAGTTTCCTTAGGATCGGACAGGGTTTCTCCACCATCGCCTTCAGGGAGTGGGATGGAGGTGTCCAGGGATTCAGGGTTGGCATCGAACGGATGAGTGATGTCCAACGGTGGTTGAGGGGGGTCGGGAACGGACGCTTGTTCATCATGGACTTCATCATCTGCTTGATTTACGCAAGAAGAGGGGGAGTTGACTTGTGTGGGGACGACGTAGCATTCGGACAGCTTGACCTTGTAAGAAGAAGCTCTCAACTGACAGCCGGAGAACATCTTGACAAAACACCATGGGTCGTTTATCTCTGTAACGAGATAGCTGTTTCGGGCGTGGAGCTTGTTCCGATCTGACACTAGATAGACCAGGTCGCCAACTTTGATCTGGGGTTCGGATGGGAGAATTTCAAAGCTGCAGTTCTTTAAAGAAATGGTGGTTAAAGAAAACGAAACCATCTTGAGCCGCCTTATAACAAAAAACAGTTACCCCCCGCTCGTTTTGCTTTTATCAAAGAATGTTCCACTGGTTTCTATTTCTTCGAGAAAGTTCAAGACTTGCCAACAAGAGGAGCTACAGCTGTTCAGCATTTTACCATCAATGGAAGTCTGTTCCTCGCCTTTTGGAACTATCATGGAGATATTCACAAACACAAAACAAGCTCCATGATTTATAAGATGAATGAGCCGACTGGAAAATTCACCTTGTACCAGACCCTGAAAACTAGAGGTGCATTTGGCGCTGAGTTGATAAACATCGTTGATAAACTATCGTTGATAATCTTCTTGATAATGATAAACGTCGTTGATAATCTATCGTTGATAAACATTTCCTTGCTGTGGCTAATCATAAGGATGGAACGTACCAACTTGACTCGGTAATCTTTCAGTGGAATGGACGACAGTTTTCGGTATTCCAGAAGATACCAACAAAAGGAGCTGCACACTTCAAGTTCTTTACGTTGAATGGTGAAAAATATCTCGCGGTAGCAAACTTCCGTGAAGGAAGTACCTACTCTGTAAAATCAGTCATCTTCAAATGGAATGGTGTCAAGTTCAACAGGTTCCAGGAGATAGCAACTGAAGGTGCCTTGGATGTAAGGAATTTGAAATAGACAATTAACTTTTACAGCTCTCAACAGAAGTATTCCGTTCAGTCCACTGTGTTTAAATGGGTAGGAGGACACTTTGTCACACTACAGTCTCTTCAAACTTACGGGGCATATGACGTGAGGTCTTTTAACATCAATGGTCACACTTTCCTCGCTTTTGCTTGCTACCACTCTGAACGTTCTCACAACACTGAGTACTCGTTTATTTACAAATGGGATAGTACCAAGTTCGTTCTGTTCCAGTGCATTCCAACTCGTGGAGCCTTGGCTTGGCATCCATTCATAATCAGTGGTCATACCTACTTGGGTGTGGCCAATCACTACGACAGCAGTCAAAAGTACAACACTTAATCCACGGTGTACCAAGCCTCGGGCGCACAGTTCGTCAAGTATCAAGAGATTTCCACCCATGGAGCACATGATATGACATCATTTGAGTACAAGGGTCACACTTATCTGTCGATGGCAAACTATTTCAATGAGAAGAACAACATAAACAGCGTTTTGTACAAGTGGGTTTAGAGATAGGGACAAAAAACGAAAGGCATATGACCAGGAGTCACATTAGCTGCTTATGCATAATTGTATTGATAGTATTTGCTCAATAATCGAAAGAAAGTTCATGTGTTGGGATTTGTTGGGGGACTTGATCTGTTTGATGATAGCTTAGTGTTGTATCAGTCCCTCATTGGCCAGGATATAAAAATATTCGAAAGTGAATGAAATTTAGCAATAAAGCTGCGCATTGAAGATAATACTTAGGTTTGGTTTCTTTCAAATATCTTTGACTCCTTTGATAAAACGAGATAAAAGAGAGCTGAGACCAAGAAACAAAATGAAAGCAACAACAATCGTTCACACGAACTATG